AATGAAAAGTTAATCAGACTGATTCAATTGAGATATTTACTAAACTCTTTTAAATTGAAAAGTTGATCAGACTGTTTCAATTAAGAGATTTCTAAGTCTGTTTTCAATTGAAAAGTTGATCAGACTGTTTCAAGAGAAGAATAAAAGACTTTTATATATAAAATATCTGATTTTTTTTCACACTAGTTCAGTAACTAGATTGGATTTTTGAAGAGAATCTAATAAACTAAAATTGATTTTTAAGATAAATTAATAAAATCTTTACAATCTCTTTCTTAAGATACAGTGAGAAAAAGTATGATATCAATTGATAATAAATCAGATAATATAACAGTTTTTGAGAGAAAAACTGACAAAAAATAAATTAATTTTTTACAGAGAAATTGATTAAAACTATTCAATTTTATTCTAAATCATTCAATTCTTCTCACACAACAAGTGTGCAACTCAAATCAGTTAATAAAGAGTATAAAAAAGAATTAAGTATTAATGAAAGCTCTTCAGTCACTGAAAAAGTAATTCTTACTTAAAAGAATGTAAAATTATAATAGAAAATAACTCTGTTTTTAATTCTTTATAAGAATATTGTATAAAACTCAGAGAAAAACATCTTACTTTTTCAAGAGAAGTAAAAAACTATTTCTAAGATCTTTTTTTTTTTTATAATAACTGCTACAGAAGAATAAGATAGAAACTACTAAAATATACACTACTATATACTTTCTATCAAGACTTTCTCTCTTCAGAGTCTTGATATTATAGAGAATATAAGTCTGTTTCTATATAATAATATAAATATTATCAGTGAGATATAGAGGAACTGGTTATTTATATCTCAAAATAGAAGACTTTGTTAATGATTATATCAATACAGAGTTAATTCTTAAATTCAATAGAAATCTAGTATTACTGTTCTCAATCTCTTGCAGAATCTATTGAATATTGAGATATTAAAACTAGATTTAATATATCTCACTGTGCAGGGATCAAAGACTCAGTCAGATCTTGAAGTATACTGAATTTATAGTTATTAATATACTGTTAACTTGTTCTGTTAACTTGTTATCTGCTGATTATGTATTGAATACTGTTACTGAGGTAACTTTTTATATTATTCTGTCAGAGATAAGCCAGATTGAGAGAAGTAGTATGAGAGTGAGACTTGATGTTAATGTCTAGATACACTGAAGACAGATCACAGAGATTACACTTCAGAAGTGTCTGTTGATTATATGCTTGATATTATCACTGAGATATCTTTTTATATTTTTCTGCTGAGAATGGGCCAGATTGAGAAGGGCAGTATGAGAGTGAGACTTGATGTTGATGTTTTGAAACATTAAAGATGGACAGGGTTTTCATGAAGATTACTTCTCAGATATCTTCACAATTACAGATTGAGAATCTTTCAAAATTGAGAAGATTGGTGCATATGACTAGGTCTCTTCATCTTACAATTTGTATGGCAATTTGGCCCGGGGTTGTAGTGTGGTAGGGGAGAACAGGGGATAATCCCACACAGGAGTTTTGAACAATGTCTGGTTCACATTTGGCTGGATAACTCCACCACCACACGGGGTATGCGGTCGGCGATGAGGTCAAAATGCTCATATGATCGAGGGCTTTTCAATGGATCTATCGGCGGGTTCTTATTCGAAAAATCGAGCGAGTTCGTGGTGGAGCGGTAAAGACTTTTGCAGTTGAATTGATAATGAGACTATTAAAAAATCTGGTTCTGGTCTCAGACACGGTCACACAGTCAGTCTACTTATTCTTATCTGCTTCTTTTACTAATATTCTCTTTTTATTATTATTTAATCTGATTATTGTCTTGTAATAAATAAGATTATTAATCAGATTATTAAAATAAATTACAGAGATAGTTATTTTTAAAACATCTTATTAAAGATTCTTAAGATAGATTTGAATATATAACTGTGAGTATGTTTTCAGACTGTGTATAAACTGCTGAGTGAGAAAATTCTCAGAAAGATATTAGTTATAAGCTTTTATTTTATTCAGTATTATTTATCAGATCTTTATATAGTGTATAATATTATTTTCAAAATCAGTATTATTAATAGTGATAATCTTATTATATAGTTTAAATTGCAAATCAGCTTAATATATCTAATACTTTAGTTTAACTATCTGTTATAGTATAGCAGCTTATCTCATTCTGATAACATTATTATGATTAGTCTGATTAAGTTTAAATTAAGTAAGTATTTATAACTCAGTCTTTATTAAGTTTTATATACACTCTTATAATCAGCTTTCTTTGTATTATTAGATTTTTAAATTATTATTTATAAGTTAAAGATCTGAATACTCTTTATTTATAAATATATATAATGTATTAATCAAGACAGCTTTTAATTTAATTTCTCAGTATCAGTTATTATAGTCTCTAAACTCAGAGAGCTTGTTATTTAATTTCATTTTAATATAACTGTAATTATTCTTGAATCTGTAAAACTTATCTATTTGAGTGACTGAATTTACAGCTGTGATAAGATTGAGATTTATTCTCTACTTTTATAGTTATTGCTTATGAGTGATTTTCACTGTATCTGCTTTAGAGAACTCTATCTCTTATAAATAAGTAAAATACACTGTTATTTCAGTGATCTTATCAGTAGAGCTATTTTAAGTAAGTGTTAAGTATTCTATTGAGAAGAGATTTTCTTCTTCTCTTAAACTTATATTATAGTCTGTATTTATTTTAATTTAAATCTTCTGAGCTATCTGAGACAGTGATTACAGCTTAAACAGCTCTTATTCAGAGATATTATATGTATATATTAACTGTGTCAGATATCTTCTACTTCTAGTAATTAATATAAATTTAAGTAAGATAATATTATCTTCAATGATAAAGCTACTTGTAGAGATATATTTATTATCTATGTTTTCATTCATAAGAATGCAGGTTAGATGTTAAATGATAGATTAACACAGATAATTTGAGTAAAGTACTTACTATAGAAGTTTGCAGATATTAGCAGTTAAATAAGTAATTAACAGAGCTGAAAAACAACAGAGTGAAGTCATCACAGAATTACTGAATGAGATGATTCAAAGCTAAATAATAGCTTGTATATACAATAATAGCATGTAGTAAAAGAGTATAGTAATAATTAAAGCAGATTCTTATATATAAGAGAGATATAATATGATAAAGATGATATTATAGAGTAGATTATATTATAAGAAGCTAGCTGCTATATAATCTTATATAGACTGACTGTGTGACTGTGTCTGAGATCAGAATCAGATTTTTTAATAGTTTTATTATTAATTAAACTGATTTTATTACATAGTTTTAACATTAGATAGTAGTCTTATACTGTCTCAGTGAAACTTACTGTCTACTTTTATCACATTTTTCAAATAAGATTATAATTTTCACTTCTTAATTTAAATTATTTTTATTGCTTTAAATGACTTTAAATCTCATTTGAGTATTATCAAAAAGTGTTACTTTTTAAAAAATTAAAAATAGTCTAAAAAAACCCTTAAAATGTCTAAAAATAGTAACTTTATATTAAGAATGAGACTAAATGAAACTAAATAAAATCACTTTCTCATTTTTTTCAAGGCATGATTTCATTTTAAGATCTTATATATAGTCACTTTGAATGTTTTTTTAATAACTAGTTTCAGTGAGATTCATGCTAAGAAATGTATGAGATCAGATCAAATAAAATTAAATGTAAAATTTATAATCTTAGTGATCAGTTTAATCTTATATAAAAGCTTACAATCACTGATTACATAAGTTAATAAATGTAGTAAGTATATGAGTAAAAGTAGTTAATCTGTAAAAGACACAATCTGATAAATATGAAGTTTTCTTTTAATAAGTAGAATAGTATTAATTAAATACTTTTTTACTTACTACTTTTTCATATATTTTTATTCTAAAATATTTATAATTATTCTGATATAATAATTATAAATTACTTTGTAAATAAAATTATTATATCTCAGAAGCTTGTACTTCTCATCAATTTTTAAACATATTATTAAATATGATTTAAAAATTGCTTAAATCAGTGTAAAATTACAAATATATACTGACTTTTTATATGTAAAATAAATAATTAATGAAATTATCAAAGCTTTTTACATTTATAAACATATTTAAAAGTAATTATATTATTATTCAGTGATTATATATTCTTCTGAATTATATTTAATTTATTTATACTCTAAAAGTTATTTAATAAATTTGTAAAATTATATTTTTTTATAGTATGAAAATTAATCTCAGTAATATAATTTTAAGTGAGAATTAAATTTATAAAAGTGTCAGATATTATTAATAATTAACTTTATTTATTTATTTAATTTAATTTTTTACTTTTTTCTCTGAGATTTATTTAATATCTGATTAATTAACTATTTCTTCATCTTTAATTATACAGTAATGAAAATAGAAATAGAGTATATTAAATTCTTATATTAAAAACTAGATTTTTTATTTTAAATTTTATTTATACATATCAAAAATACCTTGAATTCTTTTCTCAATAATTTCATTTTCAGTAATTATATTGTAAGTGATTAATTTATAAACAATAATAAGATGATTGATGAATTTAATATTGTGATGATAATAACATTGTGGTGAGGTGCACTCAATCATGATGTGATCAGGGTAAGCAAAGGCACGTGTAACTAACTATATTAAAATTTAGAGTTCTTCATTTAGACTCAAGAATATCAACTTCAAACAAAGCTCCAGATGATCTGGGGCATCTTGAAGCCTTTGACTGAACACTGATACACTGTAATGCTTATGAAGTGAGGACCAAAGGACTCTAAGCCTGAAACTTCGCTGCTGCAAAACTCACTTCACACCCCGTGCGAATCAGCTGGTGCTGAAAACACTTGGGACAATTCTCATTAATATTCATTTCCTCACTTTTCGCTCTTCTCCCGCTTCATTCTTCTTTCCCCTTTTCTTTTTTCATCTTTCTTTTCAATGCAATCAAATGGCAAGCACATCATACACAACACCAGCGGCTCATTCACATGCTTCGGGGCCATGGGATACTAGTGCCAGGTCAGCTACAGACCCACTAAAGGACGAGGTCAAGCTACAATTTGGCGGCGGGGTTTGTTGGCTATGTGAAGGCCCTTACCCTTCCCTTATACAGGTGGAAGTTGCCCACAATGTCCATGCGAGTATCGAAGCTACCGTGGTCAGTACACTCCTTGCCGGTCTTCCACGTTTGTTCCGGTCCGGTTATTTCTAAATATTTTATGACAGGCCCATCGATGGCAGGCAATGGGGATCCTTCCCCAGGTCTTTTATCGAGCTCATCTAAAACACATGATGCGCCTTTGCATCACCTGCCATGGGTATGACGACCCGTATCCCATTTGGGCTATACTCCCAGAGACCGGGTTCGTTGAGTTTGAACGAAATTATTACGAAGCCGGAGTGCAGGCAAGGTGCTGATGGTCATTGCCACCGGTAGGGCAGGTAGGTGTCTCCACTTTAGCTCCTTGGTTTCCTCGTAGCGCCAAATACAAAAAATTCTACCACTAATATAGGACGTGCCCACGGTACTCTCTGGGTCGATCCAAGCAGAACACTATGCCGCGTTTACTTTTTTGGCATGTGGATAACTAACTACTTTCCCAGGAATGAACTGGTCTCCATTCCCCAAGCCGTTCCGCGGATATCCACAGACTCTAGTTTTGAAGGCGCTTCGCGGTTGCCTTTCCCCCCAATGGTACGCGAGCCTATCGTAGAAGATCATGAACTCATAATAGATGCGGGAATGCCTCCGGAAGTTCGGAATCAAATCAACGATTTGATGCAGCTCGGGAGCCGTCCAGATCCAACGCCGCGAAGGCGGAGGCAAAAGGAAGTGAAATACTGATGATGACGATGACAATGACGGGAGTGGGGACGATGACAATGGCGGGAAGAAGGGTCCTGAAGGCCGTGATGGCAGCGAAGGAAAGAAGCCGCTACCAAGGTCACAACGCTTCAGCCAAGGCTTCAAAAACAACACCTCGGATCGAAAACAAATACACACTGCCTTGTCCTCCTGAACCCCCGTCTGTGGAAGGAGTCCTGAACTGGTTGGATCATGTGGAAGATCTGGGATCTTTTGCAAAGGCAATCACGCCCATTTCGCCACTGGAATCTGAAAACTTAAAACAAGAAGAAAAATCATGGACCAACAGGTGGTGGAACACAAAAATGGCGAGTCTGCGCTTGGTCCGCAAAAGACTGCAGCTGCCGTTACATTAACGTAATCAACCACCCAACGCCCGCGTACACCCAACGCCCGCCCAATCTTCATTTTTTCATCCATCTTCAAACACTCACAACATGCATCATGAAGCAGTTATACAAGCAGCAATTGATGATTTGAACACACAATTGATTCCTAATTACACTGAGACTGCTAAAAAATATGGAATCAGTCAATATATATTATCACAGCATTATAGAGGTGTTCAAACATCAAGAAAGAAAGCAAGCTCTATTCACTGTAAAAATCTCACAGATTCATAAGAAGAACAGCTTCTTTTTCATATCAATTGATTGACAGATTGCAGTTTTTCTTGCATATCTTAAGTTCTTCATAATCTCATTCTTGAGATTCTAAAAGTATCTATTAAAATCAACTGAGTGTCACAATTCTGTCAGTATTATAAGAATATAATTAAGTCACTCTATCTTTAAAATATTGATTAAAAACACAAGATTGCAGATAATTCAATATATTTTAAGTATTATTTTAATCTTGTAATAGATTTCTTTCTTCTACTGATTTCTTTCTTTTACTGATTTTTTACTTCTTACTAATTAATTTATAGCTATAGATAAAAATTACTTAATATAATATTAAATCTATAAATATTTATAACTTTGATAAGAAAGAATTTCTATTAAAACTTATTTATATTCTTAAATATATTATATTAATTACTTTACTTAAATCAGATTATATAATAGATACTAGTTAAAATAACAGTTGAGAATTTATAACACTACTTATCTTAATTTATACAGATAAAACTTCACTTTTATCTACTCTTATATATTAAGAAGAATTAAGAGATATATAAGATACTTAACTGAAGAATTTTAATAGTGAAAAAAATCAGATCTACTTTACTACTTTAGAAAATAAATAAAGTAATAATAAATATAAATTAATATATTTAAAGAAGATCTTTGAATCTCTTATAAAAAAAAAGTAGAATATAAATATAGACTTCTTATATTAAATAATTACTTCTTTTATATTAATATAATATTCATTAATTATATAAATTATTATTAAATTCTACTTACTATTTTTTCTTCTTATTCTACTTATTAATTACAGTTATTAAATATTGAAATATTTGAATTATTAAGTAAATTATACTTCAATTAACTGAATGAATAGATAAGAACTGAAATGAGATTTATATATACTATAAAGAGATCTTTTTAACAGCTATTTAATACTGTATAAAAGAAGATAGTTATATCTTTAAATATTATATCTATATTCACTACTATTAATCTATATTTATTTAATTCAGAACAAGTTCTTAAAAAGCTTATAATATAGTCTTATATTTTCTCAGATATATAATATTAATTAAGAATCTCTACTTCTATTATTAATATATAAAAATTAATGAAGTAAGTTAAGTAGTAGTAGTATTAAATATCTAGTAATCTTAATTAAATAATTCATATAAAAGAAAATCTTACTCTTGATAAAGAGATTCTTTTAATAAAGAATAGACAGCTATAGTAAGCTCTTAATTAAAGAAGAAGATATTACAAGTATAATAAATGTTAAGAGTTCCGCGGTTGATCGGCCCTTCTACCAGTAGTGTGCTGGTGATGATCGAGCTCTTTTGCTTCAGTAGTCTACAGATTATGAGACTGTTAAGTGTGAGCCCTGCTGTGATCAACATGCATGAGTTCAATCTCAGAATGAACTTAAAAATTTCTAATAAATACTCTGAACATTTTAACAGTGTTAAGAGATATTTCAGAAGTATGCTCTAGAAGTTCTGTAAGCTCTAGAACTGACTGACTTCACTATTAAAAGAAGTCATTGTGACAAGGTCACTGAAGAAAGCTACTGAGAGAAAGTACTGTACTCTGTGATAGCTGGTTTGAGAGAGGGTGTTGAGAGTCTCATGATTGATCGGCTCTTCTACCAGCAGTGCGCTGATGATGATTGAGCTCTTCTGCCCCAGTAGTCTATAATAGAGTAATAAGATTACTAAACTCTTTAAATTTACTATTAACACAGTTCTTCTTATTAACAAAGATACAGATTATGTATAAGAAAATAATAACTTCTGAAGCTGTTAAAAAGAATAAGCAGACTTATAAGAAGAATATCAAGTTATAATATACTATTCTTAAAAAATAGAAGAAGACAGATATTATAAAGAAGAGAATAAAGTAGAAGACAGCTTATCAGATAGTAAAGTAGTAAAAAGATATAAATAAGACTATAAGAGCTGCTCAACAGTAGATTAAAAAGAAGCTTAGAGATATAAGAAAGACTTAAGAGTAAAAAGAGAAGAAAGAATAAGCTACTATATAACAGTAATCATAGTTGAATAAGAAAAAGATTAAAGAATTTAAAAATTATCTTTCTAATTAGAAAAGTAGACTCTTGATTTTATAAAGAGTGATTAAATTATATTTTCAGAGCTCTGTCAGAATACTTGCAGATTTACTATTAAAGAAATCTGATAATATTACAATCTTTATTAATTTAATAACTACTTACTCACTGAATCTATCTTTACTTAAGATTTTATATTCTAAGTAAGTTATTAAATTCAATAAATATTTACAGAATTAGCTGTATATTTTTATATGTAATTTTCTATATATATTTTCATTATATAATATATTATCTTAAAATCTAATTACATTATTAAGATTAAACTGACTATGTAACTATGTCTGAAATTAGAATCAGAATTTTTAATAGTTTTATTATTAATTTAACTAATCTTATTATATAGTTTTAATATTAAATAGTAGTCTTATACTATCTCAGTAAGACTTACTATCTACTCTTATTATATTTTTCAAATAAGACTATGATTTTCACTTCTCAATTTAAATTATTTTTATTACTTTAAATAACTTTAAATCTTATTTAAGTATTATTAAAAAGTGTTACTTTTTAAAAAATTAAAAATAGTCTAAAAAAAACCTTAAAATATCTAAAAATAGTAACTTTATATCAAGAATGAAACTAAATGAGACTAAATGAAATCACTTTCTTATTTTTTTCAAGTTATGGTTTCATTTTGAGATTTGATATATAGTCACTTTACATGTTTTTTTAATGACTAGTCTCAGTGAGATTCATGTCAAGAAATGTATAAGATCAGATCAAATGAGATCAAACATGAAATTCATGATCTCAGCAGCTAGTTTAGTTGAGATATCATTGAAAATATTTCATCATTGTGATGGCGAAATAGCGGGTGTTGAGTGTAACATAATCAACTACCTAACACTTGTTTTCACCTAACACTCGCCTTTGTAAATTAATTACAATCAACTTTAAATGTTAATATCTTAATAAATATTCATTATTTTAATTCTTTAATTTGTAATCTATAAATATCAAGACTTATAGTATAATATAATTCAAAGTTATTATAATATAGTTAAAATTGATTAAAATATAGATTCAATTACAAAATAAAATACAGTAAAATAAAATATATAATATTTTATTATAAATTAAGAAATATATATTATATATTATTAAAAATAATAATTCTTATATAAATATATTATAATTTAATAAATATTAAATTATTTTATATAAAAATTCTATATTTTAATTTTTAAGAATTTTTTGATTTTTTAATTATAATTTTTTTTATAAATTACAAGTAAAATATTGAAAATTCTTGAAATTTTAAATTTTGAAAAGTAATTTATTAAATATAAATATAGTTTAATGATTTCATATAATAATTTATTTAAATTACAATTTTAAAGTATAAATAATACACAGTTATTATAAAAATAGTATTTTAAAATATAAAATTTTATATACAAATTTAAATAAATCAATAATAAATAAGAATTTCAAGATAAAATTTTATATTATATTTAATTTTTATATGAAAATAATTTATATTTATAAATATATTTATAAATATAGACTGTGTATTTTATTTTAAATTAGTATTTTAAAAAGCTTAATAAATTAATAATTATATGTTATTTTCTCATAGAAATTTACTATAATATAATATATATCTACAAATTATCATTCTGTTTTTTAGAATAGTTTTAAATAAATATTCATTGAGATATGAATATTTGAAGTTGATTGTAATTGATTTACAAAGGCGAGCGTTAGGTGGAAACGAGCGTTAGGTGGTTGATTACGTTAAGCGGGCGTTGGGTGGTTGATTACGTTATCGGATAAAGGAAGTTGGCAGAAAATGAGAGACCGTGAGTTCACCGCCCTGAAAGTACGTCAAGCGGCGTTGGAGAAGGAGAAATCAATGGTACAAATACTCATAAAGGATGATGCGTTAGCTCGAAAGCCCTTTCCTCTTCGTCTACTCTGTCCTACCCTCTCCAGCTTTGTAATTTCTTTTTTTTCTTTTTCTTTTTTTTAGGGGGGAATTCACTATCAGGAGCTCCATCTATTTTCGTGAGGAACTACAAGATTGATGTCCATCAGTTGCGGCGAACGTCCGTCCATACGTTGAGCATACCGAATGGATGAGATATTAAGAGATTTTGAGAGCCTTTTTTATATAACCATGAGGCCAGATTTTACGTGGTCAATTGGTACCACTATTGATCGATTTAGATTTCTATGGAGGATTAGCCAAGAAATTATTATGAGTACTCTCAAGATGGTAATTTCCGAAATCAGAAACAACTGTTCAATCATGGCATAAATATAACGGGCTCCTCCTTTCCGTCTCGCCAATGCACGTCGCAAACGCGCCTGATGTTTTTTTTTTTTTTTTTTTTTTTTTTTTTTTTTTTTTTTTTTTTTTTTTTCCTCACTGGCTAGGTATAATAGCAGATAGATGTGGGCTGCAATCTCGCCCTATGTATAATGGATAGACAAGCCTCGGTCGAACCGTTATCTGGACTCTTTGAGTACCGTTAGGATTAGAATTTGTACATCGACCCGATTTTGATTCTCTCGAGCGTTCGAAGATGATGCGTTTGGTTGAATGGCTTGAAGATTTGCGTGAGCTTCGGATTTTCCATTGACAATCGGGAGAATAGAGATGTGTGATATCCCAAGGACGTTCGCTCGTTGTATCTGTCGCATCTGGAGCAACGGGTTCTATGCCGGGAAGAGAAACAGAGACAGACGACGTTGGCGGCGGAAGAAGCCGGTCAGACGGATCCTGGAAATCGCCTGTTCGTCCTACGGGTGTAAAATCCTTATCCGCTCGTCTCCAAGGCTGTTATTTTGCTCGAAGCTCAGATTAGGTGGAGTCGTTAGCGGCGTTAGGACGCAAGGAGACCGTGGGAGGGATGATTTGGGGCTGACTGATCTCAGTCAATGAAAGCAAGGAGATCTCAATTCAAGTGGAATTTGAGGGGACCTCTTTAATCTTTGTTTCCTGCATATCCTCGTCAAACACGGAGTCATTGAACTGGTGCCCCGGCCGACATCACCTCCTGGCGCACTGAGAGGCCTCCTTGTCATTGATTCTTCGGCCCCATCATGTTGGTCCGGCAAAAAGTGCCCTTCCGAGGAGATAAAAGTGGAAAAAGAGTAGGAAAGGGAAAACCTCTCTATCATCCACTCTCTAACTTCTCTCCATCACGGGTCCTCTTCTAAGATAACCAAATATATATAGAGAGAGTGTGTGTGTATATAATGTATAGTAACTAACCTGTCTCACGCACAAAACCGCATAATCATAAATCACTCAAGCACCATATCATATCACATCATAAATCAACAACTTGACTCAACTCGCCATGTAGAACCATATCAGATACGTGTGGTTCTGGTGCGTTAAAAGGGGCCGGGGGGATGAGGGCAGCGAACAGGGGGGGGAACAAACGGGAAAAAACAAACCGAGTTTATAAAAGATAACGTTTGAACAAATATAAAAACGCCACACCGTCCGTCTAGGTAAGTATGATGCTAGTTTGACTACTTGATTGCCTTGCGGCAATACAACAAAAGAGGAAAAAAAGAAAAGAGAAGGGGATACCAAATTAGACAATCGTGAGCATGAAGAGCAGGGAACAGAAGGGGCGAAGAATGTATATATGAGTGTAAGAAGAAGCAAAAAGAAAAAGAAAAAGAAAAAAGAAAAAAGAGAAAGAGAAAATCAGAAAATCAGAAAATCAAGTCCTCGGCGGCGGAGGACTTATCCAGCTGCCATCTCTATTCCAAACACCAACGCCACCATAAAGTCCGACCTTCGACCCCTTCAAAAATGCAAATCGGAAAAACAGATCCTCAGCCGGATCCTCATTCCCATCTTGATCCTGCATTGATATAACAGTGTCATCATCATGCTCGTACTCTTCTACACCAGCAGAACGCTTCGGCCTGGACATATCCAGTCCCCGATGCCCCTGCCGATGCCAGACAAACTCCCCAGTAACATCCTCGTCCACAAACCCACGCCACCGCTCTACATCATTCACAAGCACACTGATGCCGTCCACATTCAGCTTCTCCATGCGCTCCGGCTCCCACAGCTGGAAGGTGATGTTCCCATTACCCCTATCCACATGGTCGCCAGACGGCAGCGAGATATGGACGGAGGAGTTCGTGATGTTGGGGCTAGTGGCGCCCCACCAGCCATTGCTACCGGGCCCTGGAAGTTCACCTAGTGCACTTGGCGTTTCGATGATGGAGGCAAAACCCCATCTGGCAACGCCGTTGACGAAGAGGCCGAGGAGCAGGCCCTGGTAGATGATTGAGGGACGGATGGGGAAGGCGGTGCCGGGCATGAGGAGCATGGCGAGGATGTAGTGGTGGATGCGCAGGCGGAATTGGGGGAGGACAAGGAGGAAAATTAAGCCGGCGCCGATGCAGAGGTAAATCTTTAGGTAGTGGAAGAATTGGCCGCCTTGGCGGATGTGCCAGGCTTGGCCGAGGACTATGGAGACGATGATAGTGATCATGATGGCGAGGGCGATGGGCGCGCCTGGCTGGGCTTTGATGTCGTGCGGGGTAAGACGTTGGATGGGGATCCATAGAGCAAACGTGTAGTTGTTCAGAGCACCAACAAACGCAGGACCTAGGTATAGGATTGTTTTGCTGAACTGGTAAACGGGAGGGGAAGCCAGTGGTTCTAAAAGAGGGCGCGCACAGTAGATGTAGAGCACGTATGCGATGAAGCTAGCGGGCAGAAGCCTGGAACATAAGAGCGAAAATAGGTCTGCAACCCTGTGTAGCTCCGGCGGATCAGATACAAGACCCACGTGGAGAATGAGCATGAAAAATGTCGTGAAGAAAAATACGGCGGGGGAGGTCGTAAAGAGGGAGATTAGGACAATAGCGGTTGCGGTAATCGCAAACAACGGCCACCGCAAGTCGCCAGGGCAGTCTGACTGCGAACCCGGCAGACGCAGGAATCTAAATGATTTCGGGAAAGTTGAAGGAAAGCCAACTGAGGCGAGTTTATTCGCCTTGCTGGCGAAATACGAATGGCCAGCGCCAGTCAGTTCGACGACTCCACAACCTCCTGTAGAGTCGCTGATAACTCCAGCGTGTATTGCGGCCTGGCATACGTGGCTATCTGCTCGATAGATCGCACCCTCGAGATCATCACTCGAGGCGCCAGGAATAGGACCCCCAACTACCAGAGCTTGGTAGTTGACAGTCTCATTGCCTACCACGTACGGCTCTAGGACGAGATGGCTACTGCAGAACGCAGGACATCGAAAGGCAAAAGTCGAGCGGTTAAATGGCCGGCATTCATACCCATTGAGGCCGCATTCGTTTCCCTTAGCCCTGTAGAGTTCAAAAGTTCCGTTATAATTCAATATTTCAATTACACACTCCAGGATATTCAACCAAAATAATAAAAATAAAAATAAAAATAGAAACAGCTTGGAAATGAGACGTACCAGTAGCTAGCACCACAACTGATCGGAGCAGGTTTCCCATAGCCCTCGATATGACCACCAGAAGCGGAGTTCCTCAGGACCAACGCCCAGGGGAGAAACCAGGTAAAATACACCGCCAACAGAAGACCAATCTTGTACTTTCGTTTCGGAAAGAATCGATCTACGAGCTTGACAGGCATAGCCTGTATGCTAGGGAAAAGTGGATTTAGGAGCAGAACTCGAGGCGGATTGGGGCCTTTAAGCCACTTCACAGTCGAACGGGCAGCCTTGCGCAATGGCAGCGGGACCCATTTCCAGTGGAAAGATTTGGAGGATTCCGCCAGCCAGACAGGTATGGGCAGGGTAGTGGGCGCCGACTCAACACCTCCTGACATGCCCAGTTGTTGGATGCCATCAGGTTCGTCCGTATAAGGGTCATCCTCATCGTCGGTCAGCGTGGTGATGACGGTCCTGCCAGAGAGTGCCTCTTCATCATCCCACGGTTCTCTGGCCATAGTTTCGCTGTGCTATCTATAGCTGTAACGAAAAGGGGAGAGGGGGGGGGGAAGGGGGGAATTAGATCAGATGAATTTATTCTGTACGATATCAATATCAAATATCAAGAACAACCCTTACCAACTAACTCAGACCGCCAGGCAGCCAACAAGAAGAAGAAGAAGAAGAAGAAGAAGAAGAAGAAGAAGAAGCAGACGGACACTAGAATGAATGACAGCACGAATAGTCGACTACGACGCGGGTCTATCGGGGTATCACGGCACCGAGATAGCAGACAATATCAGAAACAGCAGAGATAGAAGAGGCAGAGTAGAGCGACAAGGAGTGAGTGAGAGTGGCGGAGTGGAGGTGAGGCGGAATGGCGGATAGGGCAGCCGGTTGGGCGGAGTTAGTCAGCAGGATGGTGAAGAGAGGCCGAATCCCGAAGTAGCTCCGGGGTAGATCGCCGCAGTAGTTTGTATAGGAAGGTACCAGCCAGAGACATAGTTACCGTCTTTTCTTCCATTATTGGTGTCGATCTATTTTTAACCCATCAGCTGCCCTTCTAGGCTTTCTTCCCCCCTTGATTTGCATCCGATTTCCCCTCTCTCTACGCAGTACGGAGTACTACGGAGTACATTGTCCTTCCTTGCTGGTCGCGGCTGGCCCGCTGCTTATCCCGTCGCGGCGTATCAGGGTTCGGCTGGCGGTACGGGATGAGTGGAGAGGAGGAGCCCTTGTAGAAATATAAGTGGAAATATCAATACCGGACGGAACTCGAGAACTCGGCGCTGAAATCACCCCTAAAACTAATAGGGGTTGCACGCCTAATTGGTCCGCTGGAACTGTAGGCGTTCGCCCCGGAGCCAGCCCCCCACCTGTACCATCGTTACCATTTATATTTCTATAGTCCGATGCTCGGGCTTTAACTTAAACTTGCGAGTTGACTGCCCTGCCCTGCCTTTGCATCTCCATCCGCGCCTGACCCGTTCCAGCATAGTTTTATATCTGAACGGTTTACTCCCTACCCGCCAGCCGAATACGAACTCCTTCGATCCTGGCTTTGAAATCAAGGACATCGATACCAGCAAGGCCAGATATTCTCTACCTATCTTCGAACGAAAACTCCAAAGAGAGACAGACAATACATACTTCGAGCTTAACTACGCTGCAACGATCACGGGGACCTCTCTAGCTTGTAGGGATAGATATAGCCCGCTGTGACAGACTCCCCATGCTGCGTATAAATATCGAACAAACGGCGAAACAGTTAAAATCCAACCACCGCCAGGAACTTTCCGATTGGGCTATTGTTATGTATGCCTAAGTATTTCTCTCGAATCATTTCATAAAATGGCGGCCAATAAATACGCAATTGGGTCACTTATCCCGAAACTTTCCTACAACCAGCACCACCAAGAACAAGACACCACCACCACCACGACGAAAACCAAATACCCCAAACACAAGCCCAATGAAGCCAAGAAAGCGAAGAATGGACTCCTTCCAAAGCAGCCTCCTGTTGATCTGTCCCATCACTTCTCCGTTGCGGCGAAAAATCGGATGGGAAGCGACGTAAAGAAGTTCTACAAGTATTTTGCGATACCGGGCATCCATAACCTAGCAGGAGGTAAGCATCTTCTTACAAGGGTTACCCCTAGCTCATATATGCGAAGGAAGAAGTAAACAAATAACATTGGCTTTAACTATATAAATCACTGATACAAATTTGAAGGACTTCCCAATTCCTCATATTTCCCATATGATACCCTGGAGGCCACCGTCGCGCTTCCAACTCGAATCAACCCACCCGCCTCCACCAACCCAGTCACTACACAGGTTGAAGAGGACGAGATCCTATTGTTATCAACCCCACCCCCAACAGCCCGACTCACCATCCCAAAAGAAAGCAACAACTCCAACTCCGCAACCCGAATCGACCTTGCCACAGCCCTGCAATATGGCACCGCACAAGGCTACCCACCCCTCCTCTCCTTCATCCGCCAATTCGTCCGCGAAAATCTGCACCCAAATGTCCCCTACTCAGACGGACCAGAAGTGATTCTCACATGCGGTGCCACAGACGGCTTCTCCAAGACCATCGAGGCACTGACGAATGTCTGGGATAAGGACCGTGATTGGGCTAGGGATAGAGAATGTATCCTGTGCGAGGAATTTGTGTATATGAACGCCATACAGACTGTGAGGCCGCGGGGTATCAATGTCGTGACTGTAGCTATGGATTCGGATGGGATGATGGTAGATGGGGAGCGCGGGTTGAAGAGTATTCTTGAAAATTGGGATTTTAGTCGTGGGAAGAGGCCGCATTTGATGTATACGGTGACGTAAGTTTCCCCCTCTTCCCCCCCCCCCGGGGGGGCCCGCCATCGTCTACTCATTAATTGCTGTTTCCTACGCTATTTGTAATGCAACTTACTAACACCGAAAAAAACCCATGTAGAATCGGACAGAACCCAACCGGCGCCGTCCTCCCTGTCCCAAGACGCAGGGAGCTCTACGCCCTCTGCCAGAAATACGACATCATTATCATCGAAGACGACCCGTATTGGCACCTCCAATACCCCTCCGCTGCTCACGAGCTCGAAGCACACTTCCGCGGCGGCGGCAGCATCAGCAACGCTCTCAATCCTCACCCCACTACACCCAACTACAATGCCCACGGCAAACCATCCGGCTACCATTTCCTCGACTCCCTCGTCCCCTCCTACCTCTCTATAGACACAGACGGCCGCGTGGTCCGCCTCGACACGTTTTCCAAAAGCATCGCGCCCGGCTGTCGACTAGGCTGGCTTACGGCGCAGCCGAAGGTTGTAGAGCGGATTCTGTATATTACGGAGACGAGCACGCAGCAGCCATCTGGGTTCGTGCAGGCGATGGTTGCGGGGTTGATTGTGGGTGGTGATAGTGCAGGGAGTGAGGAAAAGCTTGGCGAGTTTAGTGAGGAGAAATGTACTGGTGGTGGTGGGAGGCAGTCTGTCAGCTGGAAGACGGATGGATGGGTGCGGTGGCTGGAAGGGTTGCGGGCTGGTTACGAATGGCGCATGCGTACTATGTGCACGATTTTGGAGGAAGGGAGGTCGATTATCGAGCACTCTCCCCCCACCGACACTTCTGCACGCTACAGCGATAACTACATTGATGAGGATAATGACGATGACGACGACGACGATGACGACTGGCAACTCCTCCACAAAACCCCACTATACACCTTCCAATTCCCCCGCGGCGGCATGTTCGTCTGGGTGCGCATGTGTTTCGAGACACACCCTCTCTGGTCCCGCGGCGATATATCTACTAAACGACTATCCACCGCGCTCTGGAAGCATCTGATGAAGAAGCCGTTCCTGTGTCTGGTGGCGCCGGGGGGGTTGTTTAATCCAGTTAGTAGCGGCAGTGGTAAGGATGCTGAAGGGGGTGGACGCAATGATGATGAATCATTCAGGTATTTCCGGTTGTGTTTTGCACCGATACCGGAAGGGGATGTAGGGGCCTCGGCTAAGGGGTTTGTGGAGGGTTCTAGAGATTTCTGGGCGCGGAGGGATTTGGATGAGGATGAGGATGAGGATGAAAAGGGAAGTGGGAGGGGGAATAGATGAGGTAGTAGGTTTAGTGGAACCCTGTTTTTTGGCTTTCGTGATATTTTTGTTTTATCTGTTTTGCCATGCCATGCTAGGGGTTTTTCATATCCATCAGCATACATCAATGAAGGCTGGCATATACACCGTTTCATTGGATAACTTAAGCCAATTATACCCAATCTCAATCTATTTTATTTGCCTTCATTAATGGCGGTAATTTCGACGACCTTGCGTGCGTTCGGAATTGAGCCTATATCGAGTGTATTTTTATATCTAACCTGGGTAAATATTTGCCCTGGCGAGAAAGTCAACTCGACATGTCAACACGCATGATCAACATTCTATGCATCCCCACCAGGCCACTGTCTCTTGTAGTTAGGTATTGGTGCTGTGCATATGCAGAGATCCTAAGGTAAAAAAAGTATCTCCAATCGGACTGGAGTTGGACAAAACTGCCTCCAGAACCCCGCTAAAATGTTTATCCGCAGAATGCGAGTTAAGTTAAATAGACTTCAAGATAACAACCATACCCAAGCAAATATTGAATGATACAACTGACGCGATTTCACAAGAAGAAAAAGATCAAATTTAAGCTCACTCTTGCTCTAGAATACATTTCCCAATACTATCCTCCATCAATTAAACAATTTCACCCTCTCAATGAAACCGTCACAACAACAATGACCTCCCGCCTGAACGACGAGCTCGCCGAAGAGATCGATTCAGTCAACGCAATATATGATTCTTCCACCATAACACTGACATCAAACCCTTCCAATCCTCCTCCCAGTGCCCCGGACGAATTCCCGGTTACAACTACAATAATCCTCCGAATCCCGAATCACTTAGATTTCTCATTCCTCCTTGGCTTCGACAGCAAATACCCCGCCACCCCTCCTCGAGTAATCGGCACGGCATCTACGAGTTCTCGGGGCGAGGGGGAAAAATGGCTCAATGTGCTACGTGGCTCGGTGCAGAAGGTCTGGCAAGAAGGTTTCGTGTGTCTTTATGACGTTATAGAGGAGTGCGGAGAGCGATTCGGTGAAATGCGAGCTGGGGAGCCCGATGAAGCGTCTGCTGCTGGTGGCAATGAAGATGCGGACCCTGCCACCACCCATACATCTGCAGTAGATACAGCTGTTCCGCCGCCATCACTACATGCGTCCTTTGGCCTCGATAGTCCCCCAGACTGGGTAATTTCAGATCCCATAACGGAGAAGAAATCAGTATTCGTGGCGCGTGTCGCCAGAGTTCAATCAACGGAGACGGCTAAAAAATATCTAGATTATCTCCTCGGCACAGAAAAGAAAATCGCATCTGCAACTCACAATATCACGGCGTGGCGGATTAAGCAAAAAGCCGCGCCGGGGCCCAATGGCGTTCCTGCGGCCGAGGAAACTATCTTTCAAGATTTTGATGATGACGGTGAAACGGCTGCTGGGGCCAGAATGTTGCATCTCATGCAGCTAATGGATGTGTGGGATGTGGTCGTTGTTGTGACCAGATGGTACGGGGGAGTTAAGTTGGGCCCTGACCGGTTCCGAATCATCAACACAGCCGCGCGAGATGCCCTACTAAAGGCTGGCTTTACGAAGTCTGAAGGAGGTGCTTCCCAGGAAAAGGGAAAGAAGAAGGGTAGAAGATAACTACTTATTGTGTTTTTTTTTTTTCTATATTTGTCTTTTGTTACTTCTTCCCGAGATGCACAGCGCCTAGCGACAAACTATCTATATTTCTGTCTAAAATCTGCTTTTTTGCATTGCTGCCACATTTACAGCTTACTTGATGGAGCAACTAACTTCTCTACCTCTGCGAATTGGTAGTAGAAGTTGAGGCTCTCGGGGTTGGCTAATGTACCCGATGGCTTGATTACTTTCCCAGACACAATTTGCTTGACTGGCAGTTCGACCTTCTTCAAGTTGACCGTCGTCTGGAAAAATTTTGGTCAGCTTGCAAACTTCCATGAGTCCAATACTGGAACTGGGTGTACATGTACATTACATACTGGGATCTCTGGAGTCTCAAACACATATTTGGGCACATGTCGGGGACTTAATCCGCTTCTGATGGCGGCTTTAACGTCCTCTACGAGCTTCTTGGTAAAGGGAACGCCAGGACGCATGAGCAGGAATAGCATGACAGTTTCGTCTGAATCCCGCGGTCGACGCTGCCCGACGCAGATGGAGTCGGAGATCTCATTGGCGAATTTGTTCTCGAGAATGCCGTATATTTCGGATGATCCGAACCGCACGCCTGAGGGATTAAGAACGCCATCCGCACGTCCCAGGAAAAAGATTTGTTTGGTGGTGGGATGGATCATGATGAAATCGCCGTGGGTCCAGACATCTATATATTGTTAGCTGGGAACCAAACAGTTCGCAAGAGGGAACGCGACAAGTTACCGTCAAATCGAGCAAAGTATGCATCAAAATAGCGCTCTGCACCGTTCTCTCCCCAAAACATGACGGGCATGTTGGGAAACGCTGCTGTCGCAACTAATTCACCTGGAACTCCCTCCTCCAGTGGAATCCCTTTAACGCCTTTTCCACCTTCCACAGTCTGATCATACACAGCAATAGGGGTCCCAAGACTCGGCCCCTGACAGCCACCCACGTACAACGGTGTCAGACTGTTTGAGGTTCCAAATGTGCCCGCAATATCCGTACCGCCAGAAATATTTGAGAGATGCACTTTAGCCGGGAATCCTTTGTCATAGAACCACTCAAACAGGGCATCCGAAAGCACCATCCCAGTGCTTGTCATTACCTCCAGATTGCTAAGATCAGTGATCTCTCGAGGTTGAATACCGTTCTTTTGCAGTTCGTACAGATAGCGTGGGGAGGTGCCCAGGTGGGTTACCCTGACTCAATCAGAATGCGTCTCTTGGAAATCCAAGGGGATCTGTGACTTACTTCTGCTCTCCAGCCAATTTAATGAACGAGGTGACATCAGGTAAGAAGGGGCTGCCGTCGTACAAGACGACTCTGCACCCGTACATCAATGGCTGCAACGCACTGAGATACATTATCCATCCTGTTGTGGTGTATTGCAGAGCCACCGAATTCGAGTTCATTTCTCGGTGCAGTTTTCCCTCTTTCAGGCCACTCAAGACAACGCCTCCAACCGAATGCACAATACATTTTGGTGTTCCAGTCGTTCCTGATTCCATCTTGTTAGACTTTTCACGCAGTTAAAATCCAACATACATGTTGCAATCAAGATCATACCTGAAGAATAAACGACCAAGAACGGATCCGAAAACTTAACTCTCACAAATTCCAACTTATTGGACTTCACCTTTGACAAGAATGCCGCCAAAGTTTGCGTTCTGGGAACCATGCTCACATCGGCAGGACGATCTTGGAATCGAGGTTGCGATACAACTCCTTGAAACTCCTCCACACCCCCCATCCCTCGAACGATGTCTTTCATCTTCGGCCTCAAATCGATGGTGTTCCCATTGTATACTGTCCAATCATCCATGAACAGCCATTGGGGCTTGATCTGCAGCAAGCGATCCAGAATCCCCTTGACACCCATATCAGTCGAGCTGGACGAAAACAACCCTCCCAGCGCCGTCACGGCCAAAAACACAACAAGAGTATCGATACTATTGCTCGCAACAACAGCTACGCGATCGCCCTTTTTCACACCCGCCGTCTTCATAGCCTGCGACAGCTTGCCAACCCTGCTCCTGAGTTCACCAAACGTGATATTCCGTGTACCCTCCGCCCCACCTTCTCGAACCTCAGTCACAGCACACTTCGCATCTTCCTTGCCAACTATAGACACTCCCGACGATCCGGAGGAGGTGAAGAGCATGTTCTCCGCGAAGTTCATGTAAGTGCCGGCGAACCATTCTGGGATGCTGTCCATGCGTGCGGCCTCATCAACGACCCTTGTGTAGGTGCCTGAGTGGATGGGGTTGAGGTCATGCCAACAGAATTCCCAGAATGCGGCGCGGTTGTTGACGGAGTAGTCGTGGAGGGAGAGAAATGTCTGGAAAAATTTGGTCGAGACGTTAACTAGGTATCCTAATCATGTTGGTTTTGCATATTTTGCATTTGCCCGCCCGACGCCTGATACGTGCTAGGGAGGAGTGAAAAGCAGCGTGAATGGCAAAAAATATGTCGGGGTACAAAATGTAGCTTTTTGCGGTCCCAAAAAGCTCGTCCGTAGAATGAATGAAACGTAAATATCTATATCGAAAGAAAAAAGAAGAAAAAAAAACACCAGCCTTGTAAATGAAAAGGGGAACACACATACCGGAAACTTCAACCCCGTCTTGCGCTCCAGCCGCCGTCGAAACTGGCTGAGATTCGTCGACTCGGGATCGGGATGCTCCCATAGCTTGCGGGGTACCGCGTACGTCGACATGTTTTATATATAACTAGGTGGTTGGTTGCTCTGAAATTTAAAAAAAAAAAAAAAAAAAAAAAAAAAAAAAAATCCAAAACTATCTCGGTCGAAAACTGAGTCTGGACCAGACGGAGAGTACTCCGTAACGTTTGTCCTAATATTGGCTATCTTCAAAACGTAGAAACCATACAGCAATTGGCGGGGGGGGATGTAACTCTCTAGCCTCACGCACGAAGAAACCGGTCAAGTAAAGAAGTAAGATCGTTTATATAAGTCAACTGCTCGTGTTTATCTTCTCCGCATGTCACGACAATCTTTCTGTCCATTTCCAACCGTCCTTCCCCCACATTACCCGGGGTCCATGATGGCCATTTAGCTAAATCGGCTGTTGGGCTGGGCGAGCTGCTTTTGCCGGCACTCGGGTATCTCATCTCCTCTTGGTGTTTTGTCTCCTTATCTTTTCGGCTCCCAAGGGTTGTTTCGGTGGCCCTAGTGCCGACTTCCTCGGCTTCCGGCGGTTGGGTTTGCCGGGCGAGGGAGGCGCGGCTTTGTTAGTGAGATTTTCGGGGGATGAAGAAGTCTTCAACTTCTTTTCTTTTTTCTTTCTTTCTTTTATTTTCTCATTATTAGAGGCCTGTTGATTGGGGTTTTCAGAGTAAAATTTAATATGTTCGTATCTGTTTTATGGGGTGGTATATTTACAATGTTGCGCCTGCTACATGACAATAGCCGAACGGAAACAGTGTATATTTCCAGACAGTCAGTCGTAGTCCGTTTGAATCAAAAGAAGCTTCCTCTCATTATTCTCGCCCGTGATCGATTACCCGCCCAAAGGTTGAAATCAGTGCATCGATAGCCGGAGCCAGAGAGTGAGTGTGTTGAGCTCCAATTGAATGCCATGGTCAATTGAAATTCCCAGCAACTCTCATGTCTCATCGTAATGGAATGCTATTCTTGATGTCAAACACAATAATTGAAGTTCCAATCGTCAGGATCACGGGCCGGTGTGGGCGACGTTCTTGACTCGTATTCTGTCGCTTTTTTCTTTGGATACTACTGTCCAGCTTGCACCGGTAAGAGGACTGTTCAGACACTGTGCATTGGGCATAGTGACCCATTGAAACTCATCTGGTACAGAGCCACTGAGAGATGTTTGCTGCATTAGGGAGAGAATAAAGGGAAAAAGAAAGGACAGGACCCGGATGCAAAATATCAGCAGGTTGACAAAATGAAGTATGAAGTCTCCACCTGCCAAGGTACCACCAATCAGTGCACATCTCCAGAGTGCTGGAAAAGGGGTACAGACGTTGCTTTGGTGTGATGGGCATGTACTGTAGATGTATATCTGGGCCAGGTAAACGGTATGTGTGGCTTAATTCGACTGTATATCAAGAGCAAGCCCTCTGTCGATTCGACTGGGTCGTGCCATATCAGAGATCGTATGTGGGAGGCTTCCAACAAGGACAATGACATGTTTGTTGTCCTCTGAGAAACTGCATAAACCATGTCTGTTTCCTCAATATTCAAACTCGCGTCTGGTAGAAGCCATGACTCTGTTGATCACCATCAAAGATCAAAGATGAAGGGTAATTGCAATGGTTTCTCGTCAATACTACCCAGACGGCCGACGTAATAGCTAGATCCACAGAAATGAAGACTCCGCGCAGATCAACTCCAGCATTTCCCCTGAAACTTGAACTCATTACTCTCTTGTTTCGGCCGGATTCTAGGAGCGGCTCTTTTCCTGTGCTTGCAACCATCATTGTACCCCCTTTATCCTGGACTTACGCAGAGTCCTCCAGAAAGAGGGAAATAAAATAAAATAAAAATGAAACCAAGGCTCCCCTAGCTCCCCTTCCTATGCATAATTAACCCAGCATCCGCCTTGGTATGTCTTTGTGCAGGCGTTGGCAACGATATTAAACCTTGCCCCGGATGAACGCAGGGGACAAGGAGATATCCCTGCGCCGGGGCACGGTTCGACAGATCTAGATAGAAAATTATTAGCAGCTGTATCGTACGTGGGGGTTCGTTCTTAAATACATAGTAATGAACAAGGAGCGGGAGGTGGAGTCGAGAGTCCTTCAAGAATTGATTGATAAACTACTCGTAACATAGCTAGCTACTCTTAAATTGTCCAACTGCTTCATTTTAACCGCCGGCTGTCACACCACGCGGAGCGCCAAGTGGGTGCATGAAATGAGAAGAGGCAAACAGAGGGCCCGCCATCATTCTCGGAGATTGAATAGAAATTCTTGAAGATTCAGCATGGAGGAATGGAATGGCAGCAGGGGATATCTTCTATGGTACTGTATTCAGGGTGGGGGTAGTCTGTAACTAGTAGTTACACCTTTTGTTCTTGATAAGGAGAAACAAGACCGGCAACTTAGTCTGATCTGGCTCTATAATAGTGCTAAATGTCTGTAAGTACATCTGTGCTCAATTCAATCGGGGGCATAATTCCGCTATGTAAGAAATATAGCAAACCTTGCAGCTATGATAGTTACTAGTTACTGTTAATATTGATTTCATATCAGACATCATAAAACATATCCCTCCTGTCCGCCCTTATCAGCACCGGCTACTTTGACATTTCGCTGATAGAATTGCGGCTCCATACAAAAATCTAACTAACAATCTCACTCTCTTGAAAGTTGAAGCTGGAGAGCTTCCGACTTCCGAGTCACGAAGTGGGTGGTGATCATTTGCAAGGAATGGCCCATGTTGTTTTTACAATCCCGGCTCGAGTCGGAGGTCGCAGACGCTATGTATAATGAATGTACGGAGTATCTCGAAGCCAAACGCCAAAAGCGACTTTACGTTGCCACCCCCCCCCCACCAAAAAAAAAAGGAAAAGAAAAGGAAAAGACCTCTTGGTTTTGAATAATCCCTGGGCTATTGCCCTATGCATCAAGGAAACAAATCCCATCGGAACGCCTGGTGGCAGCGCTGAAACCCCAAATGAAGGAGGGCGAAGATGTCCACCTCTTTTCAACCCACTTACTGTAGTCCCTGAAGTCCCAGAGTAATTAATTGCCTTGCCCTTCTCCCTTCTCCCTTCTCCCTTCTCCACTCCGGAACTTGGGATCCGGAGTTTGGGAGGGTTGGTTAGCAGCGAGCAAGACGGCCTGGACTGGATGGAGGTTCGAAAAACGCCATCCAATTTTATGCAATGGAGGTCTTAAGCTTTCAGACTGAAGCCAACAAAGCACAGCAACCAGTGGCCGAGAACAGAACAGAACAAAACGTCCTTCCCAAGTTTAATGAGATCTTGGGACATGGGTGGTGGAGGGCATCGGGCACTGGGCGGGATGAATAGACGGAAGACGTCTCCACCAGCAGGGCGCCTAATGGTCCTGGCCCATCTTAAGGCTCAAAGCTTCCAGGCTCCTGGGTCGCGTTAGATGATACGTGTAGATGGATAAAAACACCGCCAACTTGAATATGTTGGATGCCCCCCCCCCCGCCCCCACTTGCCAGTACCATGATCAATTCGATCCCGATGAAGGTGTGATATCTTTGTCGAACCGATCCTACCGTGACAGGCAGACCCTCAGGCACAGTGGGGGGAGCGAGTCGTGCTCGCCGTCCAATGCCAGTCAACGGGACAGGCTCGCCCCCTGCCCAGGTGAGGTGGCGATAAGTGAGGCACTCACTTGAGGAGGTGTGGACTTTGTGTGAAGAAATTTAAACCAAGTTGGGAATCCAAAATTACGAAAACGAAAACGGCTTTGTTTGTCGCCAAATAGAATATACTGAAATATTCTCCACCATGTTTCTCCATACTTGATATAGTATTTGTGTTTCTCAAACGCGAAATAGGCTAGATGACTACAAGCCATATGGTAGGAGCTCATACGTTCCCCATCCATTCTCATCCGTCAGTCACTCAACCAACATCACTATCAACCGGCGCTATTTGCAGTGGACTTGAGAGAAACGGGATAAATGTCTCTGATTCGATAGAAAATGGTATCCGGAAACACCAATGAAACCCGCCAGATGGGATGCGGGGGAAGAGGGCTTTTTTTGACATGAGCCTCAAATGGACCAGGTGATGGGCTGGCCACTACCCAATGATGAGATACAAGCATTATAGATAATCTCCTCGCGAGATGTTTGCGTGCCAGACGACAATAATGACAGAACATCTATGGCTAAAGCGAGTGTCGTTTCATTCGCAAGAGTGCCTTGACTGCCCTGGTTTCGCGTTCGAAAAACATGGTGTTTTGAAATGATATGCTGAATCATGTTCGAATGGAGCGGAGGCCGAAAAGTCTATTTTTCTTTTCAGGGGCGCGCTTCTTGCTTGCTTGCTTGACATCCAATCGTCACCATCGAACTATCGAGATGCTATACATCCAGTGTATAGAATATGTGCTGGAACAAACAGCTGGGGGCTTACAAACCTATGTAACCTGTAAAAGCATTCATTCGGTGACTTTCTTTCGGATACAAACATGGAGATAGTGAGAGTTAAGCTGAGCTGAGCTGAAATGGCGCGAGCGCGGTGGGTGAGAAATATGAGTGATCGATTGATCCACGCTGGCGCTTCCTGAATCATCCGGATGACCTCGTTTGACCAGACCAGCGCAACGCCCGGCATCCAAACAAAATAAATAAATAAATAAATAAATAAAATAAAATAGATAATTATACGAATCATTTTCTAGTTTGTTAGTGTTCTAGGTTCTAGTCACATTTTATTCTTCTTTTGCTCCCATCAGAATACTACTTTTGAATTTGGAAGAGCCCAAGGACTTCGATTCGATTAGGCAGCAATGCGTAATTCATCCCGATGGTTTTAATATCGGACCAAGCTAGACAGACGTGCTGATTCTAAGTCGTAGTTGTTGTAAACGTGTACTCCGTACACAGAGACAAGTAGGCAGGCGGGGCTTTTGTGGCTGAGAGCATGGAGAAAGAATCATAAACGCACTATTATTAGCTACGAGGAATTAAAAGGCGGGGAATGCTTTGGCGAACCTCGTGTGCGATATCAAAAGCCAGCAAAATTTACAGTGTATAAATAGGTTTGGCATAATGGAAGTACACGAACATATTCGTACTAGCCCATATTAAGTTAGCTCCCGCCTAGTTGTTCCTCCCACTTAGTTTCTACTCTTCCCTCCAGACGACCGCTTCGTTCAGCAACATAAGTGTAAAAACCACTTATTTTTTCCCTCCAATTCAACATGGGTCCGCGTCAAGCAACATCTCCGTTAAGAATCCAGGGCTATGGTGTGCTCTTAGCTCCCCCTGTCTAGCCTGCTTTTACTAACAATCATCAGAGACACGGCCCCATCGCCAACAACGACTCCGTACTTGCCGAAGAAGCACACGCCTCCAAAAATACTACTCCCGTGAGCAGGACACCAGCGCTAGTGAGGACATAGTAAGCGGAATAAAGGAACGTAGGAGCATTAATCTCCCTTCAGCCATTCAAGCCGGCAATCCAGAGGTAGTTACTACCCGGTATGATCACTTGATTGGAGCTAATTCTACTCCAGACTCTACACGGCCCACTGATCTCTTCCAAACAGCGTTCACCTGAGCATAAACGACTACACCCTGGACCTGGACCTGAGCGCCCATCTGATAATCCCGATCCTCCTTCAAAACGGTCACGAACCAGCAAGGATAGACTAATCGAGCATTGGACACTCAATGAATATAAATGGCCCCAAAACCCTTCAAAACCAGACATCATAGAACACTGCCTTGCAAGACCGAAAACGCCATCACTTCGCCGGATGAAGCCAAATAGTGGCGAAACGATCTCTCAAGTGAAGAGTAGACCTTACACCGACAAGAACTATGAAGTATATTTGGAGACTAAAGGTAGTTTCATGGGAAGGCATAAGGATGATATCACCAGAGACAGCAAGGACTTCTATCAAAAGCTGCTGATGAAAGACACCAAAGTTCCCAGAGACACAGTGTTTGATGACAAAGCTTTCAGATCAACCTGTGACAGACTAAGAAAGTACAATGAGACTGGAGTTATTCGGATCATTGGTGAATTAATTGTGCCCTCGGCGGAGAGTGCAATTGACCTCGGTCATGTCACATTTCCGCATTTGATTGTTAGTATGAATGATGGCTGGGATAGCTCGATTCCTCTAGATGAGGCTCAATTGCCACCACCTGCACAATCTCGACAATTTCGATTACCTCAGCCACAACCCGATTACGCGGTAGGGTTCTCCCGACAGTCCTTCACTGAAAATCAACTGAAGAAGCTTGCACCATTTGTTGGTGAAATTGGTGATATGTCTTACTTTATGAGTACTGCATACATGTACTTTCCATTTATGACAGCGGAGGTGAAGTGTGGAATGACAGCACTTGATATAGCAGATCGACAGAATGCACACAGCATGACTCTCTCAGTAAGAGGTGTTGTCAAGCTCTTCAGGGTTGTGAAGCGTGAGAAGGAGCTGCATCAACAGATTTTGTCCTTTTCGATTTCTCATGATCATCAAATGGTGAGGATCTATGGTCACTATCCTGTGATTGATGGAGATAAAACTGTCTATCACCGGCACCCTATTCACCAGTTTAGTTTCACAGCACTGGATGGCAAAGAGAAATGGACATCCTATAAGTTTGTGATGGGCATGTATGATGACTGGGCGCCTTCTCATTTTAAAAGGTTGTGCTCAGCTATTGACGAACTACCGGAGGTGAACCTCGACGTATCACAGCAGCCTGATGAGATATTACCGCAGCCAGAGCTGAGTTTTTCAGAATCAAGTGGATTTTGACAAGGGATTGAGGGTGTCGACGTACAGTACATGTACAGTACATTACATGGACAAGGTTCAATTTTCACATCTGTATTGGGAGAGAAAGCCCAGCCATCTCTTACTAGTTCACAGGTCCCCCCCCGCATTCAAGTTGCCCAAGAAAAGACACAAATAGTCATTTAGATAACCAAATCAAGTAATTCCGTTCTAATGGCCTATTATTCCTTCTGTGAATCCTACAGATCTATCCAAAAGAATAGGTGCACCAGAATCAACCCCTAGCATTACAGTTATTCACTAGACTCAGAAAGCCAAAACCTTCTTGCAAGGCAAGGGTTCTCGCTCATTTCACTGACGTTGGAAACTCATTTTTGAGATAAGGGATGAAGTCTATGTATTGTCGGGGCGGCGGGGCATAATCAGGCCATCGTACGGAGTAATGAGCAAATTTGAAGTCTTGACTTCAGGGTTATGCCATTCATGCGCGTCCTTGTTGTTTCTGTGCCGCGCAATAACTCCCCAACCTACCCTACCGGCAGCTGTCGAAATCAATGGAGGACCGGCGTGCCATCGCCATCCTCGGTGAACATATTATTGTTAGCAGGTTCGATGTCGTTGTGAACGGAGAAAGGCAAATCTGTTCGAATTCTGTGGGTTGTTGACCTTTTCAAGCAATGTTGATGTATATACCTACCGCTTGAAGCAAAGACCTGAAACTCGGCCATGTGTCTGTCACTTGGCAGCCATAGCATAGTAGAATGAATGCTTTCGAAGAAGAACTTCACACGTCTCAACCTCGTGGAGATTTTGTTTCTCAAGGGTGGGACCTGCGTCACCTGCCAGTGTATGTTTGCGAAGAGACTCGGAGTTTTGAAGGTAGCAGTCAAGCGGTGGCGATAATCACAGTCCAGGTTCTGCCGTCTCAACTCTTGGACCCCTATCCTATCCTGGGTCTCCACCCGCTGAATATCAGGAAGTTGCGACAGATCATGAGGTTCGTTTTCGTGATCCGTCCACTTTGCCAGAGTACAAGACGTTATCTTGCCGTACAATAATCTGGATGTAAACGAGTTGGAATTTGCCATCAATCAATAAATAATATGATGTTGAGGACTGTGAGATGTTGAGATGTTTTGATGGTTCGATGGAAAGAAGGAGAAGATATCAGGCAAGGAAATTTGGTATTTTTCTCTTCCTCTAAGTTAACACAGCGGGTCTGCTACGCATAGTAGTAGACATGGTGGAGCAGAATCAGTGAATCTAGTTTATACTCTTTAATCTTTACAGCTATTGTCTGTCTTATTACAGGTGACTATTTCTAATAAGAAAACTGGAGTCTGAATTCTGTAATATTATTATTGTGTTTTTGAAAGAATTGGCAGCAAGCAGATGAGAGAGTGATGAGTGACATGCCGGAGTCAAAAGCGCTCTTTTTCTTTCTTTCTTTCTTTTCTTTTTTTCCCTCACCGAATGTCAGAAACTGAGGAAATAAAAGCTCGATCCCTGTCCTGCTGAAAAGTAACTTATGCTGTGGGAAAGCATTGGTAAAATCTAAAAACTTCAAAAGGGACTCAAGATGTTAAAAAAAGGAATACGCAGTAACTCCCGCATGCGGCCATGCCATGCCAGGATCTTATTCGCTATTCGCTACTATACGCATAGTAGTAGTAGAACACCGGAGAGTTATGCAGCGTAAGTCGGAAAAATTGTAAAATTGTAAGGAGACTTGTGGCAAAAAGCGTGTCCTTGGGCGCTGAGAGAAGCAGAAATGAGGGCCAATCAACGCTACGCTGCCCCTGGTGCCTGAAAACAGCCACCTTGTAGGCTATAGTTATAGGCTAGGAATACATAAATTATAAGATGATAATAGGAATAGGCGTTTCCGGGCGTGAGGGCGGGGCAGTCAAGTTTGGTGGCTCAGAGTTAGTTTATAAGTTAGTTACCTTCTCCCCGCCGCGGATGTTTCGCTCTGACTTTCGGTGACTTTTTCTTGCAAGGGTCAAATATCTCCCTACGCACACAGTACTCCGTACGGAGTACATACAGCACAAATAGGAGACAGCCAGCTTCCTTTCTCATACTCTGGAGTCTGTACACAATATACGCTGCGTACATCTTCTACAAAGTGATTAATCTGTGATCAACATTGGATGGACCTATGAGAGAATATTCAATCAGCTTGAGATAATCTATCAAGAAGTTCATTGAACTTAGAGAAGCTACTTCTAAAAAGCATGCCCCTGACCTGAATCCAATTGAATCTGTATGAAATCATATGAAGCAGTTAATATAGATGAGTCATGAGAATGAGAGGAATCTTTCTTATGATGCACTTTGAGAGATGATTAGAAATGCCTGGGGCTCTATAACAGAGAAGCAGTTACAAGAGGCTTATAGCAGAGATATCTGATTACTCTTGGACAGTTATAGAGGCAGGGGGCCACTATATACAAGATATTATTATTATTATTTGAGTTCATGATGTGATGATGGGAACATGCCTTCAGAATGTGAGAATGTCACATATACCCAGTCACATATACCGAGGGTTAGTATCCCACTAAATATTAGGGCGGCCTAATAAAATACCAGGATATATACCAGCGTACTCCGTACTGTGTAAGTGCGATGCCGCTCACGCGCTGGCAGCTCCACATTATAAGTTATTCCCTGTCTTGAAGAATAACAATGGAGCCCACGGAAGTACTCTGTACTGTCATTTTCAACAAGGAGCGGAGGAGATTGATGAATGATCTCAAGAAGTTGTTACAATACAACAACGTGGAAGCCTTAGATAGGATTTTGCCCCGTCTGGCGTTGGTTTTTGGCTTTTCAGCCGGCGTTGGCAATCGTTCGAGCATGGGGGCTTCAGATACCAGCCATTGGCCCCCTAGCTGGGAAGTTTATTTAGCCTGCTGAATGGAACCGTTCGGTGGCAGCCCGCGGTTCCACAGGCGAACATCGTTGTCCTCCGCCATCTCAACGACTGGAAAAGTCGAGGGCATCTCGGCGGCCCTGACTGGTTGGCGGCCCTGGTTGCAACCTTGGGACTTGGGAACTTGGAGCGAGTCGCCGTTTTGTTCTCTTGTCTCCTCTATCCCACCTGTAATGTACGGAGTACAGTCTGCACTGTGCACTTGCGTATGATCATAATAATAATGTACTCCACCCGGCAGTGTGATTGTTGGCTTCTTTTTTGCTTCAGGAAGTGCAACCTCAGACTCAGAGGATCGGTGTAATTGCCCCATCCTCCCCTTCAGGATGATGAGTGTTTCCAGTTTCGTTTTGCCGACTCGATCTCCACTCACTCACTGCGTCAAATGCTACGATCAGGAACGAAACATCGTCTGCTGAGTGGCCACCCGCCAATGTCTCTCTGTGCCTGAACATCAGTGACATGACACGGAATCAAACCAGCGTACGGAGTAGCTTGTTTCGCATTTCGGCGCTGTTCTTCTCTCGGCCAGTCCCCAGCGGATGTTGAAACCAGCCCAAAAGTGTCCCTGGCCAATCGCCGTTGGAGACCAGCAACCCTTTGTGCACACTACCCGCCTCTCTCCTGTTTCCTCGCCCTCACCCTTCACAAGCAAGGCATGGCCCTTGGTCGATTGGCCGGGATGAGCAGCCCATGGGACGGACGGGTTTTAGCTCCAACGCCCACGCCCCGTCAAGCATGGTGCGGCTAAGCACCTTATCGTTAGATGGAGGTGGGGAATAGACCATGCGGTGTCTCGAGGAGTACGGAGTAGTACACATAGTAGTAGTGGTGGCACCCAAGGAGTTTTATATAAACCTCCCCCTCTCTCCTCTCTCCGCCAAGGGGTTTTTTTTTTCTCTCTTTCTTCTGCTCATCACGCTGGCCCGTTTCGACAAACTGCCGCATCCCGTTCGCTCCCTTCCGCCCTTTTCTCTCCTTTTTTTCCCATTCGGGGTTTATTCGTGCTTTATATTCGTGTTGTTGCTTCGACCTGGGCTAGTTCCTTGTCCACCACACACTGTCTCTCCCTATCTATTCCCAGCACCCGCTGTACCACTTGGACTCTTCTCCAGATCTTGCCTGTGGCAGTTTTGTTGAGAGCTTCGTATCCACTCCTTCTGTATATTTGTATACAGCGTCGGCGCCAGTAAAGAATATACATACCAAGTAGCTGCTTCAGGAACATTCTGCGAATCGGAAAACGTCCTGCTACAAAGAGGTAAATCCACACTTTTCAATATCCAATTTGCTTTTTTTTTTTTTTTTTCACCCTTCTATTGTTCATTTGTTGTGACATTGATCATGTCATTTCACTCATGTCCCAGCTGTTTGGCTGTGTGGTTGGGCCCTTTCAGTGTGAATCACAAGCTCCTTATCCAGCCATTTGCATTCTCATGAAAAGGGGGCTGCTGTGCAGTTTATCACTGCTTTGTGGAAGAAGCTGGCAAGTGTTCTATGATAGTGTTTCTTATATATATCACTTGCCTCACTGTCCTTTGATTGCTTCTTACTTTTCCTGTCTCCTCAAGAAGCCCATTTCATTCCTTTTTACTTCTCTGTGTTTTATGTGCTCTGGATTATTCCTTCTGGTTCCTCTTACTGACAGTCTCTTCAGATTCTCTCCTTTGCCTGCTTGACTACTGTCTACTGTTCCCTCCAGCCACTGTGGATTATCTACAGTCCCTATCGAAAACAGTTCCAACCATCCTTCTCTCGAAGTTTCTCGTCCGGAACGAGATATAAGATAAGATATACGGATCCCTCGAAAGCACTCGCACACTGCATACATTCCTTCAAGAAACCAAAAAGCACCAGACGGATCACTTCTGCGAAGCTCTTCCGACAAAGCCCAAACGAAACATTCAAGTTCGAACAGAAATTAGAAACTACGTTCAATCATGCATTTTTCCCAGACATTTGTTGCTGCTGTGGCGGCTTTGCTTTCTGCCGGCGCCGTCGATGCTCATATGAAGATCAGGACACCCACTCCATTCAACCCCAGAGCTCTGGACAATGGTCCTCTCGACGCCAATGGAGGCGATTTCCCTTGCAAGTTCTCAGGTAGGTACACTCCTGGGCCGCGTGTGGTTCCCCCCGAGAACGTCTTCGCCATTGGCGCGAAGCAGACATTGAGCTTCATTGGGAGCGCCGTACATGGTGGTGGATCGTGCCAGCTTTCTCTCACTCAGGACCTTATCCCCAACAAGAACTCTGTCTGGAAGGTCATCCACTCCATCGAAGGTGGCTGCCCCTCCGCTGTGGATGGCAATCTTCCCTCAGACGCCAACGGAAGCGGCGCAAGCGTTTTCGACTTCCAAATTCCTCCAAGCATCGCCCCAGGTGAGTACACCTTCGCCTGGAGCTGGCTCAACCGCATCGGCAACCGCGAGTTCTACATGAACTGCGCTCCCATCACCGTCACCAGAGGCGTCAAGCGTCGCTATACTCCAACCCCTCGCTCTGAGTCCCCCAGCGTCGCTCTCACCAAACGACAGGATCTGCCAAACATGTTCGTCGCCAACACCGGCGCTTGCAGGACCAGGGAGGGCTGGGATATCCGCTACCCCAACCCCGGCCCGTCTCTCAGGCGCGCAGGCCTCCCTTCGAGACTACATCCTCTGGATGTTCCTATCTGCATCTTGGCAGACGGTACAAAGATCATGCCCGGCAACGGCAACCCAGGCAACCCAGGCAACCCAGGGCCCGGCCCCTCGCCCTCGCCTCCACCTTCGCCTTCCCCAACCCCCGATGCCAGTCCGGTACCTACCCCACCAGTTCCGTCCCCACCAGTATTCGTCACGAAACCATCAGACCCTACTCCCACTCCTACCCCCAACCAGCCAACTCCCCCCGGTGGAAACAACGGCAGCGCTCAGTCCGGTCCTTGCCCCAACGAGGGTAAATGGAACTGCATTGGCGGCACCCAATTCCAGCGCTGCGCGAGTGGCCAGTGGACTGTCCCCATGCCTGTGGCCCCAGGAACTACATGCTCAGTGGTCCAAGGCGGTTTGGAGGTCGCTGCTCTTGGCGTGAAGCGCAGTCATGGTGCCGGACTCCATCGACGAAGAGGACACTTTTAAGCGCGATGTGTCTGAGTGGAATAGGAAACGGGGAAGAACAGAAAACGGGAAAAGAGAGGATATAGTTGCAGCTCACTAGGCAGGCAGCTTACGATAAGGGGAAAAAACAAGAGCTCGCGATATCATCTTTCTCATGTACTCCTATTTGGGTTTTTTGTTTTACCATGTGCTCTTTCCTATCTACTATTTTGACAAAAAGTCTGGAACATGTCTGGGTCGGATATTGGACATAAATGAATCTTACCCGCCACCCCTTTGATACTTTTTGTCATATACTCTTCATTAGCTGTTGGCATGCATGTCTCACTGGTTCCTAGGATGCTGAGGGATTGGTTGAGAGTTTTCTATTTTCTCTTCTTCTATATATTATTTTAACAGATCTGGGATTGCTCATTTTGTCGAATACGAGACTTCAGTCCTTTTCTTCTTGTCTTTGCTTTGTACATTTTTTTCCTTTTTTCTTTTTTTCTTTTTTTTTTCTTCGAACAATTGTCTTTTACATATTCTGTTTTTCCACAAATTCACATGTGACCATTATCATTTTCTCTTCTTTCTTTTTTCCTAAGAGGAGACCCCATTTTCCCTAGGGTTGTTGTCCAAGCTGAACATAGGTATAAAAAACCTCCGTACATATGAAGTCTTTGGTGATACGATGCCAATGAGAGCACTTGGAGTAAGAAACAACGTATATCAATGGAGACAGAAAAGAAACAAACCACATCGTTCAGTGCATTTCTTCCTTTCCAACCCGTAAATTCATTATAATCCTCGTATACTCCGTAGTTAAATCATTATTGCCCCCATCAACCCCTCGTTGAACAAACACACGGACCCCGCCGCGAAACCCCCCCACCAGCCATATCATTGCATTTCTACTCATTTCTCCCTTTTTCTCGCACAAAGAACACAAGAACACAACGTACACATTAATACCACATGTCGTCCAACAATCCATAGGGTGGCACGCTCCCTCCCTGCCCTGCCTCCCCTCTATATGAACGATTATGCACCTCATGATAACACAACATAAAGTGAATTAATACTACCCCTCTCCAGCCATATGTTGCGCTTTCCTGGCCCAATCAAACCCTGCACTTTTTTCTCTTCTTTTTCATTCTCTTCAGCTCTTCTTTACATTTTCTATGGGGGTTTGCTTTGGTGTCTTGGAATAGTGGTTAAGAGACAGTGTAAAACACAGTTAGTATGTATATATTTATATATGCTAATGGGTGAGTACACAATGATGATGATGTAGATGTATATTTTGAATATTGCTTAGAGACATCTTGCTGAAGATGCTGCGTGTATCTAGACATCTATACTCTATACAGAGTAGACTGACCGTGTGACCGTGTCTGGGACCAGGACCAAACTTTACAGTTGTCACGTTGCCTAAAAGCATTACTCCTGGTCATGGTTTGTGTTTATCACATTGATCCCAAATCACGTTATTTCAAATATTAAAGATCCCAGATTCACTTTTCAAATAAAAATCTAGTCCCGGATAAAGAATATGTTTGAATTCTTAGTCACATTTTCATTCTGATCCCATTATTGAGAATGGCATCAAATGGGACTATGAAATCACTTCTCACTTACATAATATCATAACATAGTGCTCATTTGTTGAAAATTCAACAGAGAGTGTTATCAAATATTGTTACTTTTCTGAACACAGATCATAATTCATATAATTTTAATTACAAAAAAAATATAAAATACAAAAAAAAAACAAAAAACAAAAAATAAAACAAAAACAAGAAAAAAAAAAAAAGAAAAGGAAAAGAAAAAAACAAAAAATAAAAAAAAAAAAAAATCAAGGTCACAGAGCTGCAGTATCTCTAAAATACTCACTTCTCAGAGTCTTCACAATGTTCATCACTAACTGTGTATCTCTCACAGTGAGAGTAACACAGCTGTGATGAGTCATTGTCTTAACATCATCTAACAAATAATCAGTATATATCTGTATAAATGTGAATATTTAGAAAACATACACTTAAAAAGTGTGGCCAGGATGAACTCTGCTGCCACTTGAATGACATCAAGAGCAGAACACTGAAATTGATGATTTCTCTCATCAATTTCATGAACAAGGCAGGTGAAGATGGTCTTGAGAAATATAAGATTCTCTGACTTCTGGTAAAAATGAATCTCACAGAGAGACTCTATTTTCATGATATCAGAGACTGAGTATTATCAAAAAGTGTTACTTCCATGCAATGCACATGCACTTACTGCAATGATCCACCCTCTGTGCATGTGGCTGAGGGTTGCGGCTTTCCCACGCCGCACAGCTCTCCCTGGGATGCTGGCGCTGGTTTGCAACCCATGCAGCCTCCCAGTCCAGCACACACTGCATGTATGCAGCCCTGCGTGCTGGGGCTGTGTTGGCCATTATGGCCTGGCGTGGTACTCGCTTTTCACGGGCCATGTTTTGTTTGGAAGGGGGGGGGAAGACGCAACTGTGGTTTTATTGAGAGGGGATGAATAATTAGTAATATTGAATGTAATTTGATTCTTCTGCATTTAAAATTTGATTAGTCTATACTCTTCAATTTGAGGATTTCTAAGAGTGTTTTAATAGTTTTCATACCAGCTTGAACTTAGTGATGGGTTGAAGAAGAAGAGAAAAGAGAGAAGAAAGAAATGAGAATAACTTATCTTTATAATATGAAAATAGAGAATCACTGTAATCATTCTCCCTAGCAATAAAGATCTGTTTTCTGCATGTATCTCTGATATAGATTATATGATAACTGCATACAAAGAATATCAACATTGCATGCATTGAATGAAGATGATGTTGCTATACAACACTGTAGCTGTTTTCATATATCTCTGAAAGCTGTTAATATTTTCTTTATCTCTTTATATTTGATAAGTCAGTAATATATTTCAATGCACTTCTTCTTTCATTATTATCATTATTATCATCATCATCATCATCAACATTATCACTATCATCATCACTATTATTATCATCATCATCATCATCATTATCATCATCATTATCATTATCATATCATTTCTGACTATCTCTCCTGCCTTCACCTCTCTTCAACACTTACTGAAATCAATCATGTCATCTCTCTCTAAATATTCTGCAGTTCTGCAGACCACCAAGGCACGTGAGCACTGTCACAGATTGAAGAGAGAGAAGAAGAAGATGTTCAAGTGAGAGAAGACAGATTGCAAGACATGTTATAATGCCTTGAAGAGGCTCTGTAAGAAAGCAGAATGATAATGATTTTAAGTAACACTTCTGATAGATTTAGACTGAACTAAGTATAGAAATAATGTGAATGACACTGTCTGTGAGAGATTGAAGAAGAAGACAGTGAAGAGCCTCATGCAGCAGCAGTGAAACCAGGAGAAGTTCTGAGAATGATTTAAGTTCAAGATGAAGAGAGAGAGAGAGAAGAAGAGTATTACTGTAAATAAGTGACAGCAGAAGAAGATTAAGAGAATGTTGAAGTGAGAGATAAAGAAGTCAAAACTGATAAGTTTTTTACTTATTAAGAGATAATGATTTTTGATAATGCTTCTATTCTCTAATTGATTAGCAGGAGCTGGCAGAGAAGGAGAGAATTGAGGCCTTGTTCAGGTCTTGAATGCACTTCATGATTCAGAACATTGAGAAGACAGCTCTGCTCTCTGAGCATGTCAATCTGCTTATCACTGAGATGAAACCCGAGGCAGTAGACCAGAAAATGCAGGATTTTGAGGCACAGATTAATCTGACTGAGAGAGAGCAGTGAGAATCCTTCTCTGAGAAGGCAGTGAAGAAAGATTTTGAGATGATTATCATCTCAGATGAGAAGAAGAAGGAGAAGAAGAAGAATGAGAAGTGAATTATAAAGAATGATAAGAAGAATGAGAAAGAGAAGAAGTAGATTTTTTTCTTTTTATATTAGTTAGTTGTAAGTTTAAGTTTTTAATTATTAATAATTAAAATTGATTTTGAGTTTTCAAAAATTATTGTACAAGTTGTAATCAAGTCAGAAATGATATATATATATATATATATTTAACTATCATGATTCACAAATCACTATAATGTATAAGTATCAACATTTTTTCAACATTGATATTCACAATATTAATATATTTTTAATGATATCATCTGATAACACAATTTGATAACACTCTCTTTTACAATATTAATATATTTCAAGAAATATGATAGAGATTAATCAAGATTATTTATTTACTTTTATACATCAATGATATTCAATCTGAGTTAGTACTAAAATTATAACTAAGCTAAGAAACAAGATTATTTTCTCTTATATTAATTCTTCTTACACACATCAGTGATCAGTTATTGAAAATAAATTATCATCTTTCTCAAATTATTATCATGTCTTCTGAATTCACTTCTTTCACTTCTTTTACTTCTACTGAAGATTCACAAACTCTTCAAGAAATCACTGTGAATTACAAAGTCTATGTTGTTTACAATTCAACACAGAATGCTCTCTTTCAATCATGATGAATAATCACTTCATTCTTCACATCTGATTTCAGGTCATGAAATTTATGAAAAACTCAACATAAATATCAAGATGAACTATGGAATAATTATCAACAGATTACATTGCAGATTACTGAAGAGTTATCTCTCTGCTGCAATCACTGCAACTTCATTCAGAAACATTCATCATAGACTGATCATAGCTCTGAAGGAATTTCCTGACATCTGAAGTCATCAGAATGCAGACAATAAAAGAAAAATAATCAGAAAATTACTACTGAGCTGGTAAGTTACTCTATCAGATAATGATTTTTGATAATACTAACTTTCTAATTTGAAGAAAATCATGTGAAAACAATCATGTATCAGTACTCTGATTTCACAACTCTCATCTGATAACTTCTGTGAATAATTACTTCACATGTGTATATCTCTGAATCTTTCTCTTCAATCAATTGAAAACTCTGAATTCTGAACACTTCTTCAAATACTTAATTCAAATCTTCATATTTCACATCAATCCTGTCTTCAGTTCAACCTTGAGACACATTACAAAGTTAATATGCAACATCTAGAATCAGAGTTGAAGAATCATCAAAGAGTGTCTCTCACTGTAAATGCATGAACTAGTATAAACAATCTTGCATTTATGAGAGTTACATGTTATTACATTGATGAGAACTGAACTTATCAAGAGATATTAATTGAATTTGAATCATTGATCAGTAGTCATACTGGGGATTATATGGCAGAGGTATTAATAACTGTGATTAAAAATGACTATTGAGATATTAGTCTCAGTCTTCTTGCAATTACAACTGATAATGCTGTGAATAACTACACTATGATGAAGAGCTTGAAGCAAAAATTGGCTTTGCATTCCTGAAATGGTAAACAAGGTCATATCCCCTGCATTGCTCATGTGGTTCAACTTGTGATGTAAACACTGGTAAAGAATCTTAATATCAAGATGAAGAATAATGAGATGACTGGTTCTTGAGATGAGAATAAGATGAAAGTGATTACTCAAGTAACTTTTGCATTCACTTTGCAAAAGATAATGTTTTTTGATAACACTTTTTGATATTGTTTTTTAATAATGCTTTTTGATAACACTACTGTTAATTTTGAATAGATTGACTAATAATTTAAATATCATAGATTTGAAACATTGTTAATGTGATTTGTACCTCTTCTAAACAACAACAACAATTCTATGATATTCAATAAATAAACAAATCAGTCACATCACTGAATATGATACAGAATGTTAGAACACAGTGAAGTTCAATATATAAGATGACTGTTCAGACTCTTCAATTGTGTCAGATGATTGATCATTGAGTGCAACACTCTGATGTAAGAAATCCCGCTCCTCGCGGATTCTTTACCTCTATTCCTATCTCTCGTGTAACCAATAGGGCTAGCGGCCCTTGGCTACACACAACTATATAGACTGGAGTTCGCGAATACTATTCATAACTCAGCTTGAATGCTATTATACACTTGACCTCTATATTTATCTTTCTACTGTGAACACTTCTAGTAGTTAACAGTACATATCACACCAAGCTGCAAACACCTGAATAATTGCCGTGAGCACTTATTCTTACATTTCAAGCTCAGTCAGTCAGCAACCACCTGTTATGACTGAAAGAACTAGAAACTTGTGTGCTTCAACCCCTGTGAACTCTACTGCAGGCACTCAGAAGCAGTCACTTGAACCATGAATAATCTCTGTGAAAGAAGTCTCAGAGAACTTATCAATCACTCACAGAACATCATTCTCTGCATCTGTGACAGAGAAACTCTTCAAACCCATGAATGAATCAATCTCAGTGAAGAACATTCTTGAGCATCTCTCACAGAATCAAGCTATTTTTCTACAAGAAATGCTTACTGTCTGCAAACACTCTTGAACTGAGTCTCTAGACATGATCTTCAGAGACACCTGTGAACTGAAAAGAAACTTTCTCAAGTTACAATCACTTAAGATCATCTATCAAACCACAATCTATAAAAGCTTTTGCAAGTTTGCATTTGAAATTGACTTGCAAGTCTGACTGTGTGACATGAAAGATGAAGAAGCTGTCATCTATGCAATAACAGACCTCTATTACACTGAAGCTAAGAACTGGCTGAATCATCTAGAGAATGATCATGAGAGATCTCAATGATCTGTTCTCAAGATCTATCTAGAGAACAAGTTGAGAGACTTTACAAGTCAGACAGAGAACACCTGAGCTGTGATCATCAACATTAGAAAAAGAGGTGAGAAATCTGATGAAGACTACTCACAGCACTTCATGAAATTATGACACAAATTGAGACCTGTGAAAACAGGGTTCTGAAACAAGACCTGAATGATGATGTTCATAAAGAGACTGAATAAAGACATGCAGAATAAGCTCATTGAGTAAGACTCTAAGTTCTTAGCTCTGAAGAAACTGATGACTCTCATTCATCACTTGTGAATCACTGTGAGAGTCACAGACCTGTGAAGAGTGAATCATTGACCAGCTCTGTGAGAGTCAGAACAACAGAGAACAGATTTGTCAGAAAAAGATGACAAGACACAGAGAGATTCATATCTGACTGCTGAGCAGAGAGAGAGAGCTTCACAAGCTTTTATAAACAGAGTGTATAACAGAGAGATTAAGAAAAAGAGACTCTGCTTCATCTATTCTAAATCAGAACATCTTCACACAAACTGTCTGAACAAACTAAAATAGGAATTTGAGAAGTCACAGACAGAGTCAGCAACAGCCTTCTTAAGAGTCTTGAAGCTGACACCTGAATCTGTTGCTTCTTCAATGAAAATGCTTACTTATAGAAAGAGACTGTGCTGTGATGCTGCTGCTCTGCAAGCATGAAAAGCATTGATAAACTCAGGATCCCAGGTCACTGTGATGTCTCTAAAGCTCATGAAGTGAATGAGCTGAAAGATGAAGACTGAG